TATGGGTCCCTAAGAATCAACTGAGCTTGAGTCTCCCAGGCTGACAGAGCCCTGGCTGTGAGAGCAGCTTTCCCATGAGGAAGGAGGTTGACCAGACGTTCCCTCTTTTGCCTAAGGAGGGAGCCATGCAGGTATCACCTACCCAGCAGCCTGGCAAAGACCTCATGGTGTTCAGGCCTCACTGTAGACACACGCTGCCTCTTTAGCTTCATCCTGAGCCCACACAGTATCTCCACTGACCACACTGGCTCGGGTTCAGGGTCCCAAAGCTCTGCAAGGTCATCCTCAGAATCCGATGACAAGTCCCTCTTCCTCTTTGGACTGGCGGATGGAGGCTGGGGGATGGCCTCCACCCTTGGTTCTAAGTGAAGAAACCACACCCCCATGTGAAGCCCAGGCTTTGCTGACCTCAGCCCTGCCTCCTGGCACCCCAAACACCCCAAACCTCTTCAGCTTCTGCCTGTCCCCAAACATTTGTGCCTTTCCCTCTGTGCTAATAGCCACCTGCCCCTCATCTTGTCCCCATCCCCTCTCCCTGTTCCTCAAGACTCTTCCTCATTAGACATGAATTGTCCCCATGAAAAGGAAGTCTCTTCCTGTGTCCCCTCTTCTCTGTCCTGTCTCTGAGTCTTGGTGCCTAACCCCTTCCTTGTTCTGTAGATTTTCTGTCCATGTGACATCTGTGTCTGACCTGTTCTCTCTGCTTCCCTCCTCCCTTCTTCCTTCCCTACTTCCTTCCTTCTATCCTTCCATCCTTCCCTCCTTCCCTGCTCCCTCCTTCCTTCTCTCCTTCCTTCCCTCCTTCCCTCCCTCTTTCCCTCCTTCCTTCCTTCCTTCCTTCATTTCTTCCTTCCTTCCTTCCCTCACTCCCTCCTTCCTTCCGTGTCCTTCCTCCTTGCTGTCACCCTCTCACACCTCTTCTCACACAGTTCCCTCACCTGATGGTCCTGAGATCTCCCCATCCACCACCACCCCAGTTAAGGACCTGGTGATGCCAGGCTGAGGACTCTGTTCCTCAGAACACAATGACAGTTGGCCAGTGGTCACGATTCTCCCAACCTGTTTCCTCCTGTCCACAAATCCCAGACTCTGATCTGTCCCGCCCTCCTCCCTGACTCTCGCTGAATCCACACATGATGTCCCTTCCCCCATGTAGGGAGAGGAGAGGTGTGGAGGAAAGCTCCAAGAAGATACTGTTGTCCCCCGAGCTGCCCACCACCATGGAGTGCTTCTCCTCCAATCAGGAGGGCGGACGCCTGTGATGTCATCAGCCTTCCAATCTGGCAACCAGTTTGAAATAAAACACGTGTAACTGACAGACTGATGTGTCTACTTGGTTCTGAGGATTAGGGGTCAGTCTGCATCCTGCCACTGACCCACACTCATCCAATACCACTCACCACATCTCTTCTCTTTGCAATGTGTGTCCTGGGGCTGCGTTCTCCCCACAGCTCAATGAGGCATTTTGGTTCACCTACCCTCTGCACTCCCATTTGAAACCTCAGCCTCTTCCCCATTATATACTATTTCTCCATTTGGTTAAAAAAAGGAAATTTTTTAAATTTTTTATTAATTAACTAAAAATTAAGTTTGATTTTTGAGACAGGGTTTTGCTCTGTATCTCTCACTGTCCTGGAACTTGCTTTATAGACCAGGCTAGCTCAAACTCAAAGATATGCCTCCTGGAAGAAATGTCATTCTATAATTCTTTATTCCCCTTCTTTGCTCTGTAGTTTTCAGCCCTGGTGACATCCACATCCCATTGCCTGCCCTCCCCTTCTCCTGTCTCTGGCATCCAGGGCTCCTCCTTTCTTACTTCTATGCCCCTTCTCCTTATGGCCACCCGCTCACATCTCTTCTCACCCTGGGAACCTCCTCACCTGATAGTCCTGGGATCTCTTCATCCACCACTGGTGAGGACACCGTGGTGCTAAGCTGGGGACACTGTTCCTCAGGTGTCGAGGATGGGTCACCGGAAGCCATAATTCTCTTAGACACTTCCTTCTCATCTACAAATCCTAGACTCTCGTCTCTCCCACCCTCCTCCTGGACTCTGGCTGAATCCACCTCTAGTTCTCCCTTCTGTAACCTAGGGAGAAGTCCGGTGTGTAGCAGAGCCTTGAGAAGGTGAGTCTGTCCACCGTGCTGCCTAGCTCCACAGGGTTTGACCCTTCCAATCAGGAGGGGCGGAAGCCTGTGAGGTCATCAGTCTTCCAACCTGGCAACCGGTTTGAAAGACAACGTGTGTAACTGATGGGTTGATCTGTCTATTTGTTCCGAGCATGGTTGTGCAGGTTTGGAAATCTGTAGTTGAAGAATGCAATGGGGATTCTAAAGAAAGCAAGATCACTGTAGCTGAACACAACAAGGTGGAGTCTTTGGGAGACTTTTGCAAGATGATGGAGATCTGACATGCGGGGTGGTATCAGGCCAAAGGTTCTTATCTGATGGCACCTTTGAGCCAGTGCTTCTGGCTGGTGAGTGATGACCATAAATGTAGTGTCCATATGAACATGAAGACCTCAGAGCAAAGTTTAGCCTGGGCTTCTACCCTTAGCATCTCTACGCCTTGCTGGGCCTGCCCCTCTAACATTTCCATTGTGTCCTCTGGTGAATATGGTCTTTAACCCTTGAAGAAATCTTCCAATGCTGTGACTCCTAAAATCTAGTGAGACCCTTGGGTACAGAGGATGACTGCTAAGGGTGGATTTTTGCTACCTGTGCTCACAGGATTCAAAACTGACTCTCTCAGCTGGTTAAGTTTACAAAGAGGGGAAAATATATGAAGTGACAGTCTCTGGATTCAGACCCCTGAAAAAGAGGCCAGCCCCAAGGCTCACTGCCAAATGGACAGAATGGTGGCATCCCTTAACAGAAGAGTTGACATTCAGTGTCTAGCCTGCTTATATTTCTGTTCCTGTGATTAAATATCCTGATAAAAAGTAACTAAGTAAAGGAAGGGATTTATTTCAGCTGGTAAGTCCAGGTTACAGTCGGTCACCGTGGAGAAGTCAAGGCAGCATCAAACAGCTAGTGACATCATGTCTGCAGAGAGATACAAATGCATATATGCTATCTCACCAACTTGTCGTCAGTTTGATTCCTTTACTCTTAAACAATTCTGAATCCCCGTTCCAGGGAATGGTACCACCCACAGTGGGCTGGTCCTCCTCACATCAATTAACTTAGTTAAGGCAATCTCCCACAGATATGCCTATAGGACAACCCACCCATGGAAATTCTCTTTCCAAATTATTCTAGATTGTGTCAAGTTGACAGTTGAAGATAACCATCAAAGCACCCAAGAAGGCAACCTACGATAGGGCACAGAACAGAGGACCAAAGGGAATCAAAGTACCACGGACGCCCAGTCATGGATCGAGTACATTCATTGTACAGTGGGAGATGCAGCTAGTAGCCAGGAGTCCAGGTGCTGCCACGTTATCTGTCTTTACTAGTGTCTCACCAGCTACCCAGGCATAGCTGCCATCCTCTGTCTGACGTGGAAGCACACCAGGATAAATACCCATTGACATTTGGAGGTGTGAGCATGACCACGATATTGTCACTTTTGCTCCACTGCCGAATTCAAATACAGGCTATGCTGATCAGCAGCAAGTGCTGGGCAGGATGTCCCCACCCACACTGCTGCCTTTCCAGAAACCACCTCTGCTCTGGCCTCAGCTTTACACATGCTTTTCTGACCAAATCACAAACTTTTCCTCAAGTCTTTCTGCTCTGCTTCTGACAATAATTTTTACTTTTAAACCTGGCTAAAAGCAGCCTACAATAACTACACCATATTCTACATGCAATGCTGTCTCAAAAATTGCTTTACCACATTAGTTAGTACATTATTATCTTGGATTTTTGTCTTTTGCTATGATCAAAATGCCTTGAGGAAAGCAACTTAGGGGAGAAAGGACTGATTCTGGTTTACAGTTCAACAGTATAGTCAGTCGTGGCAGGGAAGTCCATCAGCAGGAGGTAGAAGTAGGTGGCTGGTCACACTGCATCCACAGTCAGGAAGCAGAGAGTGGATGATACACGATGCTGTTCAGCTCCTTCTTCATCTTATACAGCCCAATATGCCCTGTCTAGGGGATGGACCTGCCCACAATGAAGATGGGTTCTCTGACATCAATTAATGTAAGATAATTCTAGACTCAGTCAAAGCAACTGGACATGGTAGCTCAAGTCTGTAATCCTAGCACTCAAGAGGCAGAGGCAGAAGGATCTTCTGTGAGCTGGAGACCAGCCTGATCTGTTCCAAACCAGACAAAGACACATGGTGAGGTCCCCTGAAAAATACAAAAACCAAAACAAACAAACAAGAAAAACAAAGTCTTAGGGCACAGGCAAAATATTGACAAATTCCTTTCCAGAATGTAATACAAATGGCCTCGTGCAATTTCCAATACATGTCTCATTCTCACTTGAAACCTCTGGGTGTAGTCTACACTTTGTGAGTATCTACTAGGATTCATGTCTTTTGAACTCACTCCAGGGTCTCTCACCAAGTTGGGTTTACAACATCCTAAAACTTCTCTGTTGTGCAGCTCCACACTTCTTCTGATTTCTCTTTCAAGTCAGCTCTAAAGGCTTAGAAACCACAAGGTCAGTTTTACCACAGCAGAGGCCCCGCTTCCCTGGCACCTGTTTTCTCTATTAATTGCTTTTATATTCATGTGACGTAGGCACCTGAAAAGGGACCATTTTATTTGACCTCATCACTTCAGAGGGTTCAGTCCATAGTCCCTTGGCTTTATGGTTCTGGGATCACGGTGAGGCAGAACATCATAGTGGTGGGATTGCTGTTCCTTGCAGGGTAGACAGGAAATGGAAAGAGGAAGACAGGAAGGGACCAGATAGCCCCAATAAATCCCCCACTGCTACCACTGAATCTACTTCCTCCAGCTAGGCCCCAAGCCTTGCATTTCAAGGACCTCTGAAAACAGTGCCATTAGTTGGCGACCTAGGCTTTAACACTGCGGGGCAACTTTAGGAAGGGAATGTTTAGTTGAGCTCAGAGTTGGAAAGGCTACAATTCATCACAGCAGGGAAGGTGTGGTGGTAGGAGTGGGAGAAGATTGGTGACATTGCATCCATCGTCAGGAAGCAGAGAGAGAGGGAGAGAGGAGGGGAGAGAGGGAGAGACAGACAGACAGACAGACAGACAGACAGACAGACAGACAGAGTGACAGAGAGACAGAGGGAAAGGGAGAGAAGGGGAGAGACAGGGGAGGAGAAGAGAGGAAGGGATGGAGGGGAAGAGAGAGGGGAGATTGGGAGAGAGAGACAGAGGGAGGGAGAGAGGAGGAGAGAAAGGGAGGGAAGGAGAGAGAGAGGCTGTTGCTCAGCTCACTTTTTCTTTTTCTTTTTTTTCCATTCAGTCTAAAACCATGAGATGGTGCTGCCCATTTCAAGGTGGGTCTTTTTTCCTCAGAAAACCTCTTAGGGAGGCTGAAGAGATGGCTCTGAGGTTAAGAGCACTGAGTGCTCTTCCAAAGGAGCCAAGTTCAATTCCCAGCACCCACATGGCAGCTCACAACTGTCTGTGACTCCAGTTCCAGGAGCCCGACACCTTCACACAGGCAAAACATTACTGTTCATAAAATAAAAAATAAATAAAAGAAAAAAGAAAGCTTCTCAGGAAACTCCCTCAAGGACACACACAGTGACTTGTCTCTGGGATGGATCTAGAATTGCTGTGAGGGAATATCTAGTTGGAACGGTCTCTGGGCAAGCCTGTGCAGTCCTCTAGACTGGGTTCCCTGAGGTGGGGAGATCCACTCTGCAGACACCATTTCCCTGGGGTGAGATTATGGATTGCATAAACGGAGAAACAGAGTTGAACACAGTGATTCCCCACCCCTCTCTGCTTCCTGGTTGTAGATTCCATAGGACCAGCTGCTTCAAGCTCCTGTGTGTTTGGTTTCCCCACCATGATGGACCACTTTTGAACTGTGAACTGAGACAAAAGAAGCCCTTGCTCCCTTGAGTACTTTTGTTGGGGTCTTTTATCAAAGCGACATAAAAAGAAACTAAGGCACAAAAAACTAAGGCAGTTTCTTTTACTGTCTCTAAATTTAATCAAGCTGACAATTCAGAGTCACCATGAAGAACATTCTCCACTTGTAATGATAAAAAGTATACTTAATGTTTTTAGTTGGGCAGTGGTGGTACACGCCTTTAATCCCAGTACTTGGGAAGCAGAGGCAGGCAGCTCTGTGAGTTCAAGGCCAGCCTGGTCTACACAGTGAGTTCTAGGACAGCCAGAACCACGGAGAAACCCTGTCTCAAAAAAAAAAAAAAGATTCACCACATTATACCACCCAAGTAGGTAGCAGTGACCTGCAGGTGCTGAACTGGAGGGGTTGACAGCAAACATTACCTACCCATAGCCTAGACCCATGAATCTTTGGGTGGATAGGAAGTACAATTACAGAACAATTTCTTAAGTGGTTGTCTAATACACAGAGACACCGATTGAGGAAAATATGGGGGAATGTGTGATTTGCATTTTCCCTGTCTTTAAGACCATGTGGCTTTCAGATGTGTTTGTTTATATTGGTTTCCATGGCAATTTTATAATTATAAATTTTATATTTTCAAATCATATATATAAATAAATCATATATAAAAATAAATCAATATATATTGATATATATATCAATAAACAACTTGATTTATTATCATTGTTTGTTTTATGTGAGTGTGTCCATGGCACGCTCAGGAGATCAGAGGATAACTTTTGGGAGTTAGGTCTATTCCTCCACTGTGGGTTCTGGGACTGAAGTCAAGTTTTCAGGCTAGCATGGCATCTAGCTGACCCTCCTGGTAATTTCTTGAACACTAAAAACATTATGTGGCATGTGTGTGTGTGTGTCTGTCTGTCTGTGTCTGTGTGTGTGTCTGTGTGTCGGGGAGAGGGGGGTGTCTGTGTCTGTGTGTGTCTGTGTGCCTTTAGAGACCACAGGCATCAGATACCCTGAGCTGGAGTTACAGGTGGGGTAATCTGACAGACATTGGTGGTGGAAGTCAAATGCAAGTCCTCTGGAAGAGCATCAGGAAAAGCAGTGCATGCTCTTAACTGCTAAGCCACCTCTCCAGCCCCACTCCATGTCAATTGTTTGTTTAAAAATTCCT